AAAAAGTCATGCAGTTTAGTCAGCACTTTGACTTCTCAGATCATCTTTTTAAAAATCATGTGTTCCAGAGTTTGAACCAACAATCAGGGAGCCTCCATGGGACCGACCTTGGCCCTTAGCATGTGTGTAACAGTTGTATAGCTTGGTCTATGTGTGGGACTCTTGGCAATGGGAGCAGGGGCTGTCCCTGGTGCTTTCACTGGCTCTGGAGACCGTTTCCTCAAGCTGGATTGCCTTGCCCCCTCTGAATGCAGGGGGAGTTGCTTGGCCTTAAGGCAGCTTGATATGCAATACTTTTCTGAAGTCCATGGGAGGCCTATCCCTGTCTGAGTGACTACTACTGAAGAGGAATGGATTGGGGGAGCAGAGGGGAAGAAGGGGGAGGAAGTGGGAGGAGAGGAGGGAGGGGAGACTGAACTCAATATGTGAAAGACATTAATTAATTTTTTAAATTCCAACTTAACAACAACAAAGACAGAATCATGTGATTTAGGTGGCACCACTATCTTCCAATGAACACAAACTTCTGTGACTTGGGGCTGGGTCTTATTTGTTCCCATACCCCGAGTCCATCCATTGTTGACAACTTAAAAATATTTTGTTAAACTGGGCGTTGGTGGCGCACGCCTTTAATCCCAGCACTCAGGAGGCAGAGGCAGGCAGATCTCTGTGAGTTCCAGGCCAGCCTGGTCTCCAGAGCGAGTTCCAAGACAGCCTCCAAAACAATACAGAGAAACCCTGTCTCGAAAAACCAAAAAAAATTGTTTTTGCATAAATCCTCATGTTACAAAAGACTAGACGAGTTAACTCACTTGAAACTTGTAAGCTATTGGTCTGGGAATTTGTTTTAAGCTTCTGAATTTCCTGGCATTTGCTTAACCTGAGTAAACAAATCTCAACCAATGCACAGGCACTTTATTAGTGATTTTTAAAATTATTAAAGATAGCATACACATAGAGATATACTCAGGTTAATTTACCTCTCCTCATTACTTATGTAAACATCAGGCATACTCTTTGTGACATTTCAGTAAAAGTGCATACGTATTTTAATAGTATGCATAAAGATGATTAATATGACAACGTTAGAACTCCGGGATGCTATTGAATGAGCAACTATCTCAGTATCTCCCTTATGGGTTTTATTTGTTTCTTTTTTAAGCAGGATCTCACTATTGTGACCAGGCTGACCTCAAACTCTCAGAGATCTGCCTGCCTCTGCCTCCCGAGTGCTGGGATTAAAGGTGTGTGTCATCACACCTGGCTTTCCCTCTACAGTTCACACACACATACACACATACACACACACACACACACACACACAGCCCAAAACCTCTGTTTCCAAATCTTGATTCTTCTTTCTATGCTTCTCTTTGTATGTTGGCTCAATTATCTTTGGCCACAGTAAAATTTTCTATCTCTGGAAGGGAGGAGGGAGCCTGGTAACTCTGAGTCAAAAACCTAATATCTGGAACAATCTCCATAGCTAAAGAAAGGAGTGTTATAACCTGCAGGCCTGGGTCCTATGCTTGCACCTGAAGCCAGAGATTATGCAGGACACCCATGAGATAGGAGATGGAGTAGAGGGACTGCCTGGCCACTAACAATGGGTTTCCATAGCACACATCAATTCCCAAGTACTGGAGATGTGCTGAGTATTGTAGAAGATCAGCTGAAATAAGTGGGCAAAGGCCCTTGGAAAATGCCAGTCAAAAAGTAGAAGAAAGTGAAGTGATTCTGCTCAAGGTCATTGTAACAGTATTAAAAATGATTACATTTACTGAGAACAAAGTAACAAGAAATAAAAGTTCATGCAGAACAGCCAAAGAATTTAAGAAAGAAATGTGTGTCTAAAAAGTTTTTTAAAAGAAGAGAAAAGGGGGAAATGTAATATGGCAACAAATATAATTTTGCTTATTAAATATAAACGGGAGGAGGAAATTGGGAACAAGGAAAAGCAGTAGGGGCTTTAGTCTCTGGGATGATAGCATTAAGAAGGTTGTGAGTGATGAGCTATGTATTATAGGTTTGTTTTAAAGTAAATCATCTTATTTCATATCAGAAATATTGGCAGTGATTTGCTTCTTAAGTAAGTGAGTAGCATTGACTCTTTAAAGGTTAGCAGCTAAAGCATTTATTTTGTTAAAAAAAATCATGCCTTTTGTGTGATGAGCCAGAGTCACTACATATGCTAAGTGGCATTCTCATCAAACCACCTGAAGCAAAACAATATGCTTCCAAACGCTATCTCCAACGCAGCAAGGCATGCTATTCCTGGTGCTGGAGGGCAATCAACAACTCAAAGTGGGAATTTAATTCTGATTTCTAGGGAAAAGGAGGCAAAGTAGAAAATCAAAACAGGCCATGAAATTTAGGAAGAGGGAAGGAGTTCTTTGGGATATTTCTAGGAGACATACTGATTGCTGGTGTATGGCATTGATTAATGCTTATTGAAATGAGCTGATTGATTCTATTGTGTGATTAGTGAATGCTGGCATACAACTAACTGCAGTAATTGATAGAAGAGAGGGCATTTAAAGGACACTATTTTAAAAGTGTGTGTGTGAGTATGTGTGGGAGCCGGAGGACAATTCCCTGTGCTTATTCAAGGGCCTTATTTTGAGACGGACTGGAACTTACTGAATATGCTAGGCCGACTGACCAGCACGCTCCAGGGATCCGCCTATCTCCACCTCTCTAGCCTGGGATTCCAAGCACACCACAAAATGTGGGTTCTTGGGGTTGAACTCAGGTCCCCCGCTTATATGGCAAGCACTTTACCGACTGAGTCATGTCTTCTGCTCTGAAAATAGAGTTTTAACTACATTGTGTCAGTACTTGGATTCCGAATCCCTTTAGATTTGCCTTCACTGTCTCTCAAGGCAGCAGTGGTGTTCAAGTTCACTTCCTCTCCAAACTTGTTTTGAGGTGGCTTTTTCATAAGAGCACGTCACTTTTCATGGTTACCAATATTCTCACAACTACTGTGAGAGAATCATTTAATGGCTAATTAACTATTATGGAACATTGACTAATGCCATGCTTGGTCATGTGGCAAACCAAATGCCAGGCAATTGTGTGAAACAAAAGCCTCCCTCACCTTCCTGTCATAGTGGCCTTTTGTATGCATTATGTACAGATCTGTGACATGGACATTAAGTTGCTCATAGGCAATTTTGTTTGGCACATTGCTTTGAAGAAATCAGGGTATGATTTCTTGCAGTTAACCAGACAAAATTAGAAATATATGAAAAACTTTTGGAGAAAAAAGTCTGTATGAATCCATTCTTTATGGCCAAGAAGAAAAGCTGATTCCACGGTTTCGCGATCCTCTGTTAACTTCCTGGGGTATGCAGAGACACCTGCCCCAGAATGAAGACTCCAAGAAGTCTACAGATGTGGCCACATCTTAAAATCTGGTGAAAGTAGAGCCTTTTAGTCTTTTACTATGCAAAGATGGGTTTCCTTGTGGCAGCTCCATGTGTGTTGTTTGGTTGGTTCCTCCTTTCTCCCCCTCCTCCTCTCCTGCTCTCTATCAGCCCACCTCCTGCTGGTTCTCTCCTCCTACCTCAAATGATCCTCTCTTCTGCTTTTATGTCACGTGAATTCTCTTACCATCCATCCCCATTAGGCCTTCCTCCCTCTTCCCCTTAAGTCTATATTACTTGTATGAGGGAAATAGACAGCATTTGTCTGAGTCTGGAATATTTCACTTGATTTCCAGGTTCGCCCAATTTTTTGCAAATATTACAATTACATTTTTCTGAATAACTATATTTCACATATAGGGACCCTGACCTGGTCCACATATTAGGTGTCTTAGTAGTCAATTAACTTCCAGTAGGACTCAGAGCAAGAAAGTTCTGTAATAGTTCCCTGATATTAGAAATGAATGACTGGAAGGCCCTGTGATGTTTGAGAGTTTATAATGGGAACATTGTGGCAATCATAAGGCTTCTAATCAAGACCACACTGTTTACACTGGATAATTACTTGTCTTTTGAAAACTCTAGTGTTGGACCCTGGCAGAAGGGAACATTGGTGGTCAGATGTTTGGTCAAGCATCCGTCTAGATGTTACTCTAAAAGTATATATCTGATTATTTAAATCAAATGACTGAGTAAAGAAAATTCCCCCTCTGTGACATAAGACAAGAAACTTAAAGAAAAAGACCAAAATCCCTTGAGGAAGAAGGACCTCTGCTTCCACGCTGCCTTTGGACCACAGATTGAAGCATCAGCTTTCCAGTCTCCAGCTGTCCTGAAGCCTGCAAATTGTGGGTTCCAAACTCTGCAGTGGTATGGACCAATTCACTAAAACTCCCTCTCTCCCACTACCTCCGTTTCTCTATCTCATCTCTCTTTCCTTCCCCTCCCTCTCTTTCCTTGTGTGTATATATGTGTATAGAGATGCACCTTAACTTGTAATGAGACTATGCTTGATAAATCCATCATAAACAAACAAAAACATTTCATTTTGAAAATTCATTCAATACCCCTAATTTGCTGAATATCATATAGTAGCCTAGCCTAAACTATCTGTGTTGAAAATACTTTCATAGCCTTAGAGCTGGGCAAAATCAACTAACAAAATGCCTTTAATAAAGTAAAGAATATCTTATACAGCTTATCAAATGCAATATACCATATAATTTAGTATTCATTATTTTTATCCTCATGATTATGCAGGTTTCTGAAAGCTGTGGTTCAGTGCCACTGCCTTGCATCACAAGAAGGCATCATACAACTTACCGATAGTCTAAGAAAAGATCAAAATTGAAGTATGATTGCTACTAAATGCATATCCACTTTTATACCAACATAAAGTCTGTCATTAAGTAGAACCATCATAAGTACCACCTGCATACATTAAGATTCTTATCTACTGTTATCTGTTTCTCTGGTGTATCCTAATATACCAAGTGCCCATGCATCTAAAATACTCATTGTTAAGAGCTGAGTTTTATCAGACCCACCAGGTGGGTTCATTCAGGTACTCACCCAGAAGTGGATACATGGTGTCACTTGTGAGCTAGTCCAGAGGTCACAAGCAACCTGAAAAAGCAGATATACCATGATTCCACATCATTTGTCACTGTCACACCAAACCTGGCTTTGTTTATGGTCAGGCCAATTTGGTTTAAGCATGCAAACCAAAAGTGAACTGAAGCTGTACTATGTTCTCTCTGAAGAAAATTAACACCAAACCAGCCTGCTATAGAAACATAGAGAACAGATAACATCCATGGACACAGCACGTTGACCATCTTGGAATTGTGCTAATACCCACCACAGGGCACACTACAGAACAGGTATGCAGCAATTAGAAGGACAGGATGAATCAACCAGGAGATGCTATCCAGTCTCTAAACCTCTCTCTCTCTCTCTCTCTCTCTCTCTCTCTCTCTCTCTCTCTCTCTCTGATAATCCTGCCTTTGATTATTTCAAGCCACACAAATCCTCAATGGACCGTACCCCTAGGAACTAAGGACAGCCTCTAACTTTGACATTCACAGCCAGGTTTTATGAGAATATAAAGAACTTGCAGGAGCAGCAAGAAAAGGCAACAAGGAGACAGATCTGGAAGCCTTGTTAAGATCAGACTGCATGGCTATGAGCTCATTACTCTCCAGTGTCTAAACTTGACCTGAAATTACATTTCCTCTCTTTAGTGAATACATGGACACATTTGCCCAAATGAATGGGGTGATATTGTCACCTCAAATGAGCAACCAGTTGTTTCAGATGTGCCTAGTATCCTCCTTTGATGTCTGCTTAGCAAGCATGTCACACAGCTTGCTTCTTTGGGACCTTCCTCCCCATCAAAAAGATCTCAGATCTATATCACTGGAAGAAATCAAACTGCTATTCCTCAGGAAGGAAGCCCATACCCCAACTTGCTAATCCAGTACACAAGAGGGTCCAACAAATGTTGCAGCCCTGAAAACTTCAATATGCTACTAAACTCTTAGTACCACTTCACAGAAATGGTAGGATGCTAAGCTGGAACTACCTAGTAACTTCTAGAAGTAGATTGTGGATGCTGGAACAAGAGTAAGACTTCTCAGCACAGCAGTGGTACACTTGTCTACTTGTTCACTCACTAGTGTTTATTGAATATGTCTCAGGCACTCTTTGAGATACTAGAGTTGTGGCAGACAGAGAGAGAGATTGGGTGCCTCTTGTTCTAGAATTTGGAATCTGGAGGGATGATGAAATAGATGACTGAGGCCATGAGTGGGGATGATTTTTCCAAGGATATAGAACAGTGATCCCCAGCCTTCCTAATTCTACAACCCTTTAATACAGTTCCTCATGTTGCGGTCACCCCCAAACATAAAATTATTTTCATTGCTATTCATAACTATAGTTTCACTGATGTTGTTAATCATAATGTAAATATCTGTGTTTTCTGATGCTCTTAGGAGGCCCTCATGAAAGGGTCATTAGACTCCCCCCCCCCAAAGGTGTTGCAACCCACAGCCTGGCAACCACTGATGCAGAGAAATCCTAAGTTAGCATGTGAGGTAGGGAGCATAAGAGAGGAAAGGAATCAGTTATAGAAATGGAGAAAGAGGACTTGTGGGAAACAAGAAGAGGACAGTGTTTGGTAAGATATGAGAATCTCTGGGACTGGAGAGGTGGCTCAGCAGTTAAGAGTGCTTTCTGTTCTTGCAGTGGATCTCAGTCCCACCTCCAGCATCCACATCTGGTGACTCACAACCACCTGTATCTCCAAAGGACCTGACTCCCTCTGCTGGGTTCCATTGGCACCTGCACATGCTAGGCACACACATATACAGATTCACATGGGAGCACATAAATTAAAAAAAATAGAAACAAATCTTTAACATATGGGAATTTCAAAAGGGTAGACGGTTGAACATCATAACCCGCTAAATAATCAAGAATATGAAGTAGAAAAAGAAAAGCCCAGTCTTTGCTAAAGGACACTTGCTTAAATTCTGGAAACTTTAAAATTCAGCATGCACTGTCTTATGGAATCTTCCAGTGCTTGTACAACCTCACCACAACAGTCTTCCACTCTGCGCCCTCTATAAGAAGTGGGGGGAGGGGCAATGGAAGGGGGCTTTCCTGATAAGTATTTAGGGTCTCCATTGCTGCTGTTATTCGGATGCTACAGCCTCTTAGCTGAGCAATGTGGACAGACAGACATTAGAACTGACTATACATCTCAGTTCTCAAGACTCTGAACTTGACAGTGAGGAGGACTCTATCTCTCCATCCCTGTAGTGAAAGAACAGGGCTTTACCTCAAGTTTTAAAAGGCTGCAAACTCACTTCCTTCTGCCTTTACTTGGACTGTGGCAATGCAGACAGTGGGGAGTCCTTTGGGTACCGTTGTAGAAAGTACCAGAAAACTCAGACCCAGCATGCTAGAGGACTAAGGAGATACCACCTTAATGAATACGCCTACACCACTCCTTGAAGAAGTGTGTCATGGAGACGGAGCTGAAGCTTTCTGGCTGTGCACCACCAACTCAAGCTTAGCGTAGACCATTTATTTAAATTACATCCTGCTTAGTGAGCTGGGTTACCAAGCAAGCAACCAGCCTCAGCTGGTTCCCAGGACCTGGATTTCTCATGTGCCCTAAGTAGACCATCTCATTCTCCATGTGATGTCAGTGGCACAGGCTGCTCTTTGTAGCACACCCTACCTGCAGATAATGATCTTTGCTAAGCAGCAGAGAGCAGTTAAAGTGTCAGCTCACCCTGTTCTGGTCCCAGGTGTAGGGAAAGCACTCTGTGCATTAGCTTATGCAAATACAGAACTCACTAGAAGCTACAGTCTCTGCAAAGTGTGGAGTATGATGTCAGGACCTGTTCTGGGATGCAGGGAGGGAGACCCCTGGGATAACTTTTGTAAAGTTAGCCTTTAGGGTCAACTCAATTCCTCTGAATTAAAAACTGATCAGTGACAGTAGATAAGGTCTCTAGTTTGGCTCAAAAATCTCGATAATTCTCAGTCTGTCCTAGCATGCCCTCTGCTGCAACCAGCTAGTCCCAGGTCTCACCCAAACTATACAAACACATTATATAAAACATTGAGGCTCCATGAATTGATCTCATAGAAGATGCCTCTAACTCCAGTACCTGTCGCCTAAGAAAAAGGCCCCATCAGCCAGTGTCCACATGACTGGTCCACAGGTTCTCCTTTCCTGTGTGTACTGACCAGAGAGGTTAGACGTTGTCAGTGTTTATACCAGCAGCCAGAAAGCTCGGTGTTTACACGCTCACAATGTTATGTTGCTGATAGATTTTAAAGAGACCCTCCCTCCCACCTAAAGCCTGATACACATATTTAAGTTAGTCTACATACTAACTTCTCAACCAAAAAAGGAAACTTCAAGAACTCTTTGAACTCTTGCAAACATTTCTACCTGGTATAGGCAATTAGCTGGCTCCCCTAAAGGCAGTAAAATAGGTATCTTCTACATATCTCTACTTGAACTTAAATGCACAGAAAATATTGCTACCTTGGCTTTGCTGAGTGAGGAACATAAGAATCCACAGGTATTGCATTCTGTTCTGAGTCTGGTGTTCATTTGTTTGTTTGACATGCTTGTTGAGTGCCTACTATATGGTAGACACTACTAAGAGCTCAAGGTACAGCGCAAGGAACAAGATGTATGGTACTTAAAGAACAACACAAGCTTATTCTCTAATCACACACACACACACACACACTCAAGCACACAGCTGCTACACACACACACACACACACACACATACACACACACCAGTTAGAAACTTAAGAAATTGATGATATTCAAATTTTGATTACAAGAAAGCAGCAATTTTATCTTACAAGTTGTCTGTATAGCTTTATGATACAGAAACTAAAGTCTTAGTGCTCAAGAACAGATGACCTCAAGTTGTAAAATAAAGAATAGGTAGCATTATTGTTATTGTTATTATTATTAATTATTTGCTTGCTTCCTAAATGGATGCATTAGTCAAGTTATTTAACTTCATCCATATTTCACTCTCCAATCTGTAAACATGAGAAGGTATCTTGTATTAAGTGCAACAACTTTTGTAAAGCATTGATTATAGCTCAATTGTAGAGCACTTGCTTAGTATGGCTAAGACCTTGAATTGATCCCCAGTAGTCAACAAGAATGGCACTAATAAGCAAACTGTGTATGAAGTATGAAGAACAGTATTTGTCTCTTGTTGAGAATTCAGTGAACATTAGTTGTTAGGATTGCCAATCTAGCTGGAATTTTGTATTCTAGAGTACATCCAACACTTCAGAGATGCAAGAATTCAGTAAGAAACAAAAGCATCTGAAAAGTAATTGATACAACTGTCAACTAAAACAAATGCAAATTATTGAATATTTTTATCTTCCCCCTTTCTTAAAAATATTGTAGTTTTGCCAGGCACTTGGTGCCGAGGAGCTGACTCCAAAGGATTAGAAAGAAAAGTATTTCTGAGGTCCAGCTTGGCTGGTGACACGCATCAGCTTCACTGTGCTGAGTGACATGACCAAAGTGCAGGCAGCCAAAATGTTGCACCTCCCAGCAGAAGTGCAAACCGCAACCACAAGGGGCTTAGGCCTGCAGAGGGATTGACTGTAAGTGAGGTCATGATTCAGGGATTCGACAGTCAACAGTGCTGACAAAGGCACACTGTTTCCCTGACGGTACAGAATCGTATTACTGTACACACAAGTGTCCCACACCTGAGAGAGATGAAATTACACAGCTTAATCCCAGAACCAGCTCAGCAAGAACTCGCTCCGACATTTCAGGTAGGAGTCGTCTTCTGACAGAGAAAACACCACATGGTAGCAACTGGGCAGTTTTCAGTTGAAAACTGCGCATTGTCAGTTGAAATGGTCTTTGACCCTTGGCTTCCTTTATTAGCTATGACTGATAGCTCATGCATTCTATGGGGCTCTTAGTTGGTTTGTACTCACCCCTGCAATCCTTTAGTGAGGTCACATATGCATCTTAAAACAAAGAAGACTGATATTAGATACTTGGCAAAAATCCATCTCTTTCAGCAAGCCCAAACTTCACACTGACAAAAGTCAATGAAAAAATTACTCCTGTGCTGGAATGTGTCAAGGAACACACACATAGGACTGTCACCTAAACCAAAGCAAGGCAGAAGTTTCACAGCCTCCATCTCTGAGTTTAAGTGCTAAGACAGCCAGTGCATAAACAAAAGTCTTCCCAGGCTGAGCACCTTGCCTGAGACACACTGTGTCTGTCACCTGCCTGTGCCATATGAAGGCCAGAGACACAGTAAGACACCATACAGTAGACAAAAGCAGCCATTCTCCAAAGCCAGCTTCTGCCTGTAACTTTGCAGACTGTGTTCAAGCTCTTTGCCCTTCTCCCTCTTGTGGGAAGCTAACTTTGCTGAGAGTTTTGTGGAAAGTTAAATCCATGAGACATAGATTGATGGACCTGCCTAGCAAATAAAGGACAATGAAATGAGGGTGAGAAAACATTTGAAAACTTAGAGATTTTGTATACTTTTGGTTGTGAGCCTAGCCTTTAACAGTTCAGTCATCTCTCCAGCCCAATGGTTTCTCAGAAAAATGGGAATCAGTCTACCTCATGATCCAACAATTCCACTCTTGGACATATACCCAAAGGACACAGATTCATACAACAAGAACATATAACTGTGTTCATGGCAGCACCATTTGTAATAGCCAAAACCTGGAAACAACCTAGATGTCCCTCAAGTAAAGAATGGATGGAGAAAATGTGGTACATTTACACAAGGGAGTATTACTCAGCGGAAAAAAAAACAATGAAATCTCAAAATTCACAGACAAATGGATAGAACTGGAAGAAACCATACTGAGTGAGGCAGAAAGACAAGCAGGGTATGCATTCATTCATATATGGATATTAGACATAGAGGAAAGAACAACCAGCCTACAATCCACACTACCAGAGAAACTATGAAAAAAGGAAGACCCTAAGAGAAAAATACATGGTCCCCCGGAGAAAGGAAAAGGGACTAGAATTCCTGAGAAAATTGGGAGCACAACTGGGGGGAGGGAGGGAGGAAGGAAAATGAGAAGGGGAGAAGAGGAAGGGGAAGAACAAGAGGGGTCAGGAAGACTGAGACAGGGGAGGAATAGAGGAGAGCAAGAAAAGAGATACCTTAATAGAGGGAGCCAGTGTAGGTTTAAAGAGAAAGCTGACACTAGGAAATGTTCAGAGATCCACAAAGATGACCCCAACTAAGAATCTAGGCAGTAGAGGAGAGGCATATAACTCCAGTTTCAGGTGGATCCAACAACTTAGGACTCTGTGAGTACCTGCATTCATATATAGATAACCCGCACATCCACATAACTAAAGATAGACTAAATATTAAAAACAATGCTTTCAAAAGGCACTTTTGGATTTCCTCTCAATCTTGTGCTATATGCTGTGATATGGACATCCTTATAAGTAAGCACAAAGAAATCTCCATATTTGAATATACCTGGGGTGGGATTGCTAGATTACAAACTTGCATGCTTTCACGGGAGCTGTGTTAATTATGCTAATTATTCTCAGTATAGCAAGATTGGATAGGGTATGGTTCCCCAAACACTGTCCAGGCTAGTGTGTTCTGAGCTCTTTGAACTTTGCAAAACCTAGGGTGATCATGATCTCTCACTTTAATGTTTTTTCTGTATTTCTCCCATATGGATGCATTTTAAAAATTTTTGTTTCATTATTTATTTATTCACATAGCTGCATTTATCAAGATATTCCTTCATAATTGTCATGTGGAAATTGAGAGAGAGAGAGAGAGAGAAGAGAGAAAGAGAGCAGAGAGAGAGAGAGAGAGAGAGAGAGAGAGAGAGAGAGAGAGAGAGAGAGAAGAGAATTAACAGTCAGCCTACCAAAGTCAAAACTGATCAAAGCCAAATACCTCATCGTGATCAACAGCATTCTCTTTTCCTTGGTTCCCTTTCAAGTCGTGTCTTTGTCAATCCTCTCCAAGGAAACCAAAGTCCAATCATATAGTCAGCTGCATCTCCTAGGACAAATCACAGAATCTGCTTGTACACAGACTATGACACAGGACATTCTTTCTGCCTGGAATACCTTTTCAGTCTTGAATCCGAAACATGTGTGCTGTCCCTATTTGTTAGGCTTCTCCGATTGTCATCCTCTCTGGCCCTAATCATCTATGCAGCACCTCCTTCCACTCTCAATAGTTCAAGTCACACTTTACAAGTCAGGTTAGGGCTCTGAAACCAGGCCAACCAGGCTCAAGTCTGATTTCTGTTGTTTCTTTGCCTTGTGACTGACCTGGGACTTTAGGATCCTCAGCTGTAAAATGGGTTAGCAGGAATGCCCAGGAGGACTGCTCTTACAATTAAATGAGCTAACATTTATAAAAGCATTATTCAGTGCCTGTGTTAACATAGTGCCGAACACAGGACATACAGAACGTTCTTATAAACTAAGTATAAACATGTTGAGCCCAGTGCCAAGCTCAACAAAAGTCCCCCTCCAGGAGGCAGTTCAACCCAGTTTCCCTGTAAAGACTGGGGCAAAGGACTTTCCTTCTTAAGGCTCTCATTTATTTGAAATATAACATAAATATGTAAAATAGAGTTAATAAAGGTCTTCAAAACAAAATAAGGTAAGAATATATGTTGTCTATAATGTAAGCAAACCCAAAGTCTATGTTTGATAGTTAAAGAAATATTGAGGGAGATAAGTAGAGTAGAATTAAAGAAAAGTTCTTGGGAGGATTTCTACTACAGATCTCAGGTAGAGAAAAATGTAGAGGACAGAAATCACCCAAGAGAGTATTCCAGAAAGGGCAAATACCTCCCACAAGGGGACATTTGGAGATTCCTGAATCTTAGGTAGATTCGCCCACAATCTTATCAAACATACTGGAATGCACCCACAACCAACATAACTCTGGGGCAAAATATTTTCTAATTTGGCTTTTGAAATTATTCCTATGTTAGTAACTCCTTTGATTCATAATTGGTTACAATTTTTATATAATTATATTTCCAAATAATGAAATTATTTTAATTATTTTATAATTGGCTAATGATTTCTTTCAGCAATCAGTAGGTACCCATGAGAATTTTTAAGTTAGAAAAACAACTCATCCACAAATTGTTTGTACTGTAATGAGACGTTTGTGAATATTAAGTTTAATAACTCATGAAGTTGACATCCCTACATATTTTTAAGTTCCTACATCACAGTGTTCAATGAAAACTAAGCATTTCTTTGTTTCCTTCGCCCTGGGTCTTGAAACACTCCTGGGCCTTTACCTAGGCACTATTCCTGTAGAGCCGTGATCACAGGAAAGGCAGGCCTGCTTGCTCAAAGGCCTGGAGGCAAGTGCAATCAAGTTTTACGCTGAATATGGCAAACTCATTGTCTTTGCTGAAGCCAAGAATCTATGTGGAGGATTAGTTGGATACACACTTCTTAAGGAAACCAGCCATCTTAATAATAAGTAATAATAAGTAAAGGTCTGTTACAAGAACAAACAAACCTATTTAGGCTAGGGAGTGCGGGGGACACATTACCTGTTCTCATCACTTGCCAAGAACACCATGCCCTCATTTCATCTCAACTCCAGACACCAAGGCTGGGATCTAAAACACTATTTTCTAGCTGGGAACAGCGGTGGATACCTGTCATCCCAGCAATAGAAGGGCTGAGAAGGAAGATTCTGAACCTAAGGCCTGCCTGGCCTCCACAGCAAGACTCAGCTTTAAGTAACAACAACAAATAGATACATACTAAATATAACAAATGTATATGATCACAAAGCTAGTTCTCACACCTTCTGCAAGATAATCATTCTAGCATTTTGAGATCCCTTAGAGGCTCTGCTCTATTTTCCCCTCATCATCATATTGCTTGTGAGACATTGTTTGACTTTGTCGTTATCATTACCCTTTGCACCGAGGCTGAAAACATATTCTTCTCAGGGTCTGGGAAAAGAACATCTGCATGGACTATATGACCTGGACATAGTCATCAGTTTTAGCAGGAACATAAGCATGTGTGTATGTATATATATTTGGCCTAATGATGAGGAAATCAAGTAGATGTTTTGCCCACCTCTATGGGAAGACATTGGGCATCCACGCATGGTGTTCACTGGGATTCTATAAACCTGGGAAACTGAAGCCATGCTTATACTCTTCTCATCTCCAGAGAAAAGAGGAAAACAGCCCAGGTGAGAAGAAAACAATAATATGCTCTACCAACACACAGGTAAGCCGCAGTCTAAAACCTGCAATTGATTTCATGCCCAATTCTTGTTACACCTAAGATTTGCATAACCCAGTGCTAGGGAGTTTTGGGGGGAAAACCAGAATTCCAGCCCTGAAGCCAAGCCAAGCTTCCAATGACTAGAGACTGGGAAAGCTGCCTTTTCCCAATGCAATCTAGTTTCTCTTTCCCAATGGCATGTAAAGGACAAACATGTTCTGTTCTGTTCTGAAGCCCTGGAACCTGCTCTTAGTGATTAAGCCATTACGTGTGAGGACTGTAGAAGGGCTAGCAGGAGTTTAGCTCACTGTAAATGTGGTGTGGTTTGTATAATGAAACACAGCACCTTCTTTAATTACTTACCTCACCTATTGTGAGCATTCTCAGGTCAATGGTTTTGCTTAGGTGCACATCTATCAGACTGATACTGCTATGAAACATTTTCGAAGACCTCTTGCCCACACCTAAACAGCAACTCACTAAAAACAATGAAAGGCATTTCACAATCAGAGTGGATGTACTTTACCACCAATATGTAAATAAAGGAGTGGCTTGGTGAGACCAGAGGGACCTCAAGAAAGCTTTCCCCATGTCCTGGGACACTGTATGGAACACAAGGTGCTTGGCTTGGATCAATAGAAAGTCAAGGAACTCTTCTCTTTGTGGTCGCCCATGTCCACCAGATGGACGTCTGAATGTGGGACTTCACTGCTAATTCTGAATCTTCCTGTGGAGTTATTGTTCTAACCCTCTTTCCACCCTACCCCACCCCAAACACACACACACACACACACACACACACACACACATACATACACACACACACACACACACACACACACACACACAGAAATCAAGAGAAGACAAATGTTGCACTTGGTTCATAGGTCTTCCTTTCTGGCTCACCTTTCTGGTGTCAAAGCTCAGTAAATCAGCATGGCCTCAGGAAGCAGAACCACAGACCCAAATGAGACAAAAAGAAAACAGGGACCTGACAAGGGGAGAAAAAGAATGATTATAAACAGTTCAACGGTCAGCAGCTAGCACCAGGCTGGTTTACTTTTAAAATGGGAGTTCCAAGCTGGCAATTTCTGTCTATCCTGCAAGGCTCTCTGTGCCCTGGTTTTGCAGTTCACCCTCTCTGCTGCTGTCCCATGCCTGAGACTCCCTCTGCCTTCTCTGACAATTCTAGAATCTGGGCCAAGGCTGTGTCTGTCTTTACTGGCAGATTTGCTAACTCAAAAGGAACCTAATTAACACTGCCTTCCTAATTGGGCATCATGTCCTTGAGCAAGTGCCTTAACCTTGTTTGTGGTCTGGTCTCCTCAATTGCCAAATGGAGATAATAATAGGACTTTGCTCCCAGGGCGTTCAGAAGTCCCTGAGAGCATCCACTTATTTCTCTCTTGTATAAAATGCTTTATCAAGGACATGTATGTTGTGTACACTGTTCTAGAAGGTAGGTATGCAGCTTAGAAAAAAAGAAACAAAGATTTGACTACACAGAACTTAATTTCCAGTGGGTAAGGCAGACAGAATGGAGTAATGCTGGGTGGTGACAAATTCTAAAATGTGTAAAGCCTGGTGAGGGCACAGAGGATAACAGGGAGCTTATTTGCAATAGGATAATTATAAAACTCATCTTAGAACGGGCGGCATCTAAGCAAAGATCTGACTGCCTAGTCACTGAGACATCTATATTACTTGCTAGGTTCTCAACTTCAAGATGTAAATGGGTGCTTACAACTATGGGACGTGCTTTATTTTATTCTTCAAATGTATCTCTAAGCAACACTGTTTATTTTTAAAGTTTGGATTTACACTTATTTGATTTGTTATTTATGTATTTCAGGCACTGGGTGCATTTTTGTGGGCAGTTGCCACAGCATGAATGTGGAGGTCAGAGGATAACTTACAGGTGTCAGTTCTTTGGTTCTTCCCTTCCACCATGTGGGTCCTGGGGACCAAACTCCATTGGTCAGGATAGGCCTCGACTGCCTTTGCCTGCTGAGGCATCTTGCCAGTCATGACTAAATGACATTTTGTTGTTTGTTTGTTTTGTTTTGTTTTGTTTTTCAAGACAGGGTTTCTCTGTGTAGCCCTGGCTGTCCTGGAACTCACTCTGTAGACCAGACTGGCCTCAAACTCCCAGAACCCTGCTTGCCTCTGCCTCTCTGAGTGCTGGGATCAAATACATGAGCCTCCACTGCCCGGGTTAAGTGACATTTTTTTTTTTGGTTTTTCGAGACAGGCTTTCTCTGTTCTGGAACTCACTCTGTAGACCAGGCTGACCTCAAACTCACAGATAGCTGCCTGCCTCTGCCTCCCGAGTGCTGGAATTAAAGGCGTGCGCTACCAACGCCTAGCTTAAGTGACATTTTAAAGCATTGTCGCAAGTCACAAACATAATAGGTTTTCTTTTAGTTATTGTGTCTCAAAAGGTCCAAAGATGGGTCTTTTGATTGTTGGTCTGTTAAGTCCACAAATAACCTAGAATAATCCGGGAAGTAATGAGGAGGGGCGGGGATATATTTAGTAGATGTCACCTCAAATAACTCAGCCGTGCAATTCTCCTGCTGGTGGGTAGGCAAGCATAGATAATATCAGAGAATTATTGCAAACTACTCATGAACCATTGAACCCGCACGGAAGCAGTTTACTGTAAGGATAGTTCTTCTAAAGCATTTCTTTTCATCTTGGTTCCATGTTCAAAATCTTGGGGGAAAACATTATGAACTTAATTCCTCTGCTAGAGATTCACAGCCTTAGTAGCCAATTAGATTAAAAGACCTGAGAAACTGCAACCTAGAAATCTACAGAGGCTTAATCACCCCAAAGTTTCTTGACTATAGAACCCCTCTCTTCTTTGACACTGAAACTTTCAAAATGCTACAAGAAAGGAAGGCAGAAAAACTGAACCAAGTAAGTAAACAGGGAGTAAATGACCTGTCTGTTCTGTAGTTAGTGTTCTAGCTTCAAGTATCACAGAGACATTGATGTTATACAAAGATTCCAGAATTCCTTCGGGAGGAACTTATTTAGAAGTCATTCTTCCAAAGAAAGTGTAAACTGCAGGTTCCGAATCATGTCAAGATATGCCCGTTGTGAGCTTTGCTCAAAGTCAGTCTCAAGAAGCAATTCGACTATGGCCCATTGAGCTTAAACAAATCAGCACAGCATTTGGGAGGCCCCTACCATGTTGTCCCACGTTTATCCTCTGCCCTCCAGTATCTTTTCTTGGCTGAAAGGGAGAGGTGGGGTTATTGACTGCCTGCTGGGAGTTGTACGTACCATCCAGCTTTTCTTCTGGGTGCCAAGGTGCACACCCTTGGAAGTGTGTCATGTGTGTAAATCTTATCTGTCATGTCTGTTATCTGATGGGAGAAGGTTAAGAAGTACTGAACCAACGCAAACCCCATGTTTTACACTTGAGAACATGGAGCCCAGAGAGGTAACAGAACATGCTTAGATCTCTCGGGTGGAAGAAACTCAGAGCTAAGATCAAGGTGACCTATCCTCTGGCTCAGAACAGCCTGGCCTCTTCTGAGGCACCCGTCTCGGGTCAGCGTCCCTAACAGCAGAGCCTAAGAAGAAAATGATATCTGAGATTTAATGGAGTGAATATTAGATTCCTCTTCATCTAATATTCTTCTATGTCAGTTCATAAAATGACTAACCCTCCAGTATGGGTCATTCTGCTTTCTAAACTCAGAGATGTCTACCAAACATTGTGTCTTTCTTTTTTCTTTTTAATTTTATTTTAGTTGAATTTTTAAGGAATATCTTTTATTATTTGACAATCACACATGTGTATACAATGCATCTTGATCATCTCCACCCCTCTTCCCTCCCCCTCTTCCCCTGATACTACCCCCTTAACATATCCTCTTCTCCACTTTCCTGTCTTTCCACTGAGTGCAATCAGTGCTGTTCATGGGAATGCCAGCAGATTTTGCTGGTTTGATATTAAGCATGTGACAACAATTGTAGTGGATTTGTGAGTGGGATTGTCATGTCAGGTCCAGAAGACATCATTTGACAGCATTCCTCCTCATTTTCCAGATCTTACATTCTGTGCACTGCCTCTTTCAAAATAAATCCTGATCCTTGGCCAGAAAGTTTATACAGACGTTCCATTTAGGGTTCAACACACCACAGTCCATTATGTTTCTTTCCTAGTTGCATAAGGCACAAATACAGCAACTTCTTAAAACAATTCCATACGTCCCAGTTGACTGAACTCCTAAGAACTTCACAATGCAATTCCTCAGGTGTCTACTCCTTGAAGCATGTATACCTTGCCAAAGCACCCAGAAAATATACCACTTTCTCATATGGCTTCATTAACAGGCAGTGGATCAGTGCAATGGTCTAACTACCATCATTCTGTAGGTTAGATCCTTAAGGATTACGCAGGAAGAGGGGAACGAATGCATCCCTGAGACAAAACTTCAAATGTGGTAAGTTGCTCATCACATCTGCTGCATGTCAACAATTCCAGTTCCGTCTGAGGTTTTGTTGGTTGGTTTTGTGGTGGGTTTTTTTTGTTTTTATTTGTTTGTTTTATGGAACTGAGGACAAATTCATGCTAGGCAAGTGTACTCTGTGGTGTGTGTGTGTATAGATGTATTTATTTTCTCTAGTGAAAACCAGCTATAGCTGGGGGTGCTACTTGGCTAAATTTACAGTAGTATATGGATCCCCCTAAACATTTAGCTTTGAGCCACTCTGATAAATTCCCTACATAATGTATGTGTCCAAGGCAATCTGCCATTGCCTGGAATTGCAGTCGTTTGTTCTTCTGTGTTGAACAATGGGTGCAGGATTTCCTTCAACCCCTCCAACCACAATTGCATGCATCTGTGGAGTCAATGCAGTTTTAAAACATTCTCAGAGCTCCACTTCCTACCTGATGACACTCTTACAGATCAGGGTAACCTTGGATCCAATAGTACTTGAAAGAACGGAGACTCCTCTTTCCTCAGGATATAGCTTTCTTTGCAAATGCCTATGCCTTCTATTGGCAAAGAACTTGATGAATCACAGTGAGACACTTGCCATAGCGCTTCAGCACTTTATTAAATGGGATAAGCCGACCCCTGTGTCTTTAATGGATTCTGAGCCTAAGGATTGACTGAGATCTAGAAACAGCAAGAGATCCTAATTTTCTCTTGTGATGGCTATTCCCTGATATCTGCTCCTCCAGTCTCAGTCTTATTTAATCTGATACAGGGGGCAAATGTTCTGTGTGTGTATGTATATGTGTGCTCCTGTATGTGCGATGTATAGGTGCATGTGGTGTGTGTGTGTGTGTGTGTGTGTGTGTGTGTGTGTGTGTGTGTAATGTGAAGCCCAGAAGTTCATGTTAAGTGTCATCTTAGTTAGGGTTTTTACTGCTACAATGAGACACCATGAACAAGAAACAAGCTGGGAAAGAAAGGACTTTTTCAACTTATGCTTCTACATTGCTGTTCATCACCAAAGGAAGTCAGGACAAGAACTCACGTAGGGCAGGAACCTGAAGCAGAGGCCATGGAGGAGTGCTGCTCTCTGGCTTGCTTCCCATGGTTTGCTCAGTGTTAGTTCTCTCTCTCTCTCTCTCTCTCTCTCTCTCTCTCTCTCTCTCTCTCTCTCTCTCTCTCTCTCTTCCTTCCTTCCATTCTTTCTCTCTCTCCCTTTCCCCCTCTCTTTTCTTTCTTTCATTCATTCTTTCTTTTGAGGGGGTGTTTTGGTTATTCAAGGCAGGATTTCTATGAGTAATAGTTCTAGCTGTTCTGGAACTCACTTTGTAGACAAGGCTAGCCTCCAACTAACAGAGATCAGGCTACCTTTGCCTCCTGAGTGCTGGTATTAAAGACAAGTACCACAACTGCAGGCTTAAGCCTGCTTTCTTATAGAGCCCAGGACCACCAGCCTAGGTATGGCACCACACACATGGACTGGGTCTCCTCTATCCATCACTAAGAAAAAGCCTTACAGCTGGATCTTATGGAGACATTTTCTCATTTGAGGCTCTATTTTCACTGTTTATCTAGCTTGTATTAAGTTGACATAAAACCAGACAGTATAAGTGTCTCCCTTAATTTCTCTCCATTTTATTATTTACTTTTATTTTTTTTTGAGACAGGGCCTCGGTGGTTTAGGTGTTCACCAATTTGACTACACTAAGAAGTCAACAAACCCCTTAGAGATCTTCATGTCTTCTACTTCCCAACACTGGGATTGCAGTCATGTTCTACCATACCCATATTTTTACAATGGTTCTAGGAATCAACTCAGGTCTTCATGCTTGTATGCTAAGCATTTGACCAGTATAAATAGCTTTATTAGCCACAATCTTTCTTTCTCATTAAGCATTTTTATTGATTCATTAGGTCAGATTTCCCTGGGTAACAACATTGCTGATAGAATTCACATGAAAATGGTTTCTGATACTGGAGTGTTATCACCTGGCCTCTACTGACCAGTACCCTATTAGTCTCACTGATACTGAGAACCGGTTTCTGGAACCATGTCTACTATTGTCAGCCCCAGCCTAAAGACAACAGCCTCTAGTACCCACCCTTAGCCCTTCCCAAAACATTCCTTTTCACCTTGGTAAATGGAGGAGCAGTCATCTGATGGGTTTTCCAGTCTTATGCAACTGACACATTCTAGCACACTCGTTTTTCTGATGCTTACTCCCTTCCCCTGCAGCAGTGCTATAAGCTCCCAGGCAGATTGGCATCTCCATCACATTTAATGCAACTAATCACTCTCCTAGCAATAGACTAGTTTAATAGAGGCCCTTAGCTAACTCAGGTTTGACAACTGTTCCCTTTCCCTCCCCATTTGCTGAGCATCCTCGTGTCCCATTCCCTCTGTTTCTGCTGGAATGTACTGACGTACTGACCAGTTCTTTACCTCTTTCAGCCTATAGTACTTCCCCTCCCTTGACAGGCCTACTTCCCCAGTAAGCTGATATTTGGCCCTAATTATAGGGTTGGTAGCTAGGAGGGAATATAGTTGGCTGGTTTAAGAACAACAAGCATTATATCAAAAGATTTCTGTATATTATTTTCGAGAAATAGAGGGATGGTTATCTTTCAGCAAATAAGGGGTCATTTATGCAGATTAAGAAGATTCAGGAAATCTGAAATCTGGGATTCGAGGTTCTCCTGTACATTCCAAGTATGAGGGTTTTGCTTTTTTCTTGTTAAGGTCCTACCTTTGGCATGGGATATTTGCTTAAGCAAAGGGCTGTCTGCCTTGGAGTTCTGCATTGTTACTAATTAAGCTCTATGTATTTTGGCTCTATCTGCTGCCTGGCTGCAGGAGATGCAAGCTCTAGGTGACATCAAAGAGATTCTTTGCTTCAAATCGCTGATTAAGGTGAACCTTGCATTTTCTTCCTTGTATGGATGGATGACACTTGACAGCAGTCTCACCATATTATCCTCTTAAAGTGACTGTTCCACCTCTCCGGAGATGTAAGTTTAGCTAATGCATCACCTACCTGCAGGCTGGTCCATCCCAAGTGAAACTCACACTGCTGCAGTGTGCCAAATACAGTGACCACTTCAACCAATGCTACAGGAGTCCTTATTTTCACCCACCAGTGAGTGAACTACCTCCAGGATCCCATATTTACAGTTCATCTTCTACGGCTACTACCAATGCCAACTTAGATGGTGCTAACCAGAAGCAGAGGCTGAGTTGTAAATCTTTTGAGAGCAGTCTACTTTAACTTTACTGTCAGGAGAAGGAAAAAGAAGCAGAATAGAACACAGGATAGGAGAACCTAAGTAAGGTTAAGTCTTTGATGAATACCAGCCGAGGTCCAGTGCCACAGAAAACTCTGCAGCACAAATTTCACCAAAATGATTGGGCATCCCTTGGGGAAAGATGTCAATCTCTTGAATCTCCATGTCAGTCATTGGCTACCAATTGTTTTTAGGATGTATGGGGTGCTGGCCTATGAGTGAGGCCATTTTTGTTTATTGCATAGAGCCTCTGACAGTCACAGGTGACCTTATTTATAGCACTAGGTATGGGTGTCAGCCAGGTGAGCGGGGATTGAGGCAGGGGCATTGATGGAATACATTATGAAGAACTTCTGTAAGAAATGCTCTGAGTAGGCAGTATCTGTAAATAGCCAAAACAACATTTAGATAAAATTTGGCAAATAAAGTCAATGAGAAATATTAACTTTTATTCTCAAAACGAATAATCATATTTTAAACTTGTTAAAAAATTCTGTACAAAGGATTTCCTGTTTTCCCATATGGCACATAAACTACTTTGTATAATGTAGAGACAAGCAAATATTTTTTTTTACAGATTTGCAATCTAATATATTAACTAAGTGGAAAAAAACAGGATACAAAGTGTTAGTTGGCTTTCTGTTACTTTAACAAATATTTGAGATAATCAACTTACAACACAAGAGGTCACTTTTAGCTCACAGTTTTGGCAGACCATGCCCGTTGGTGTATGCAGAGCAGTACATCATCGCAGAGAGCAAATAATAAAGTTCCCTTCACTTCAGGCCAAGATGTGAGACAGAAGAGCTAACGATTTCATTTGAGACCACACACCCCTAAAAAGCAAGCCTCCTACAATACTCCACCTCTGAAATATCCCATCATCTTCCAGTATCATCAAGATGAGGACTAAGCATTTAACACAAAAGGCTTTGGGATACAGTCCAAATACAAACTGTAGCAAAAAGCATGTGTGTAATACATGCCCATGCTTTAAGATTGGATACAGTCATAAAACAGTTATGCTGTACTTTAAAACAATGATTCTTAAAAATTTTGTTCTGAGGACCACTTTATATTCTGGAAACTGTTGAGAATCAGCAAGTACTTTTCTGTTTGTGAGTTACACTTATTAATATTTACTGTACTCAAAATTAAAGTCAGAAAATATAGATTAGGTTGCATAAGCACACAGTCTGTTGGAATTCTGATGCTATCATGATACATAGCTTCTAGAAGACTTTTTGTGCAATCATGATGGAATGAGAGTCAGTAGACAATGGGTTGATATTGTGAAATGATTTCTGGTCCCGTGGACCACATGAAAGACCTTAAGAACCACAAACATTGAGAATACTATGGTAAACCACTAATTAATTACTATTGTAAATAATTCTATATATTTTCCTTGGTTGTCTTTTATATTTCCAACCCTTCTACAATATGCACCTTTGGTTTCATGATTACAAAAATGAAAGGATAATTTAGGAGAAGTGTTTATTATTTTATACTCAGATCATATGTGCACTTATTCAGTCGGAGTATATTCCGTGAACTATTTTTTGAGATTTGCAAAAATTCAAGAATGACGTGCTTTATGCTGCTGAGCTTGCTTTAGATGCTTTACACAAACCAAACCATGAAGAAAGAAAACCTCTAGGAACTGTCTGGATGAAGACATGCTCTAGACAGGGAGGAATGCTGGCGGTGTAGCCTTTCCCTAGAGTGTTTCCCCATCCACACTGCAGGACTGTTGCCTCGAAGTAGTGTAGTCATTGATTTGAAGACCCCTTCCATTCACATCATCATATCTCATTGTAAAGTGATCATATGAACACAACCCGTGGTCACGATGACTATGTTTGTGTCTGCTCTCTCACCGGACATAACAATTCACCACTTGACAAATGAAGGTGAATGTGAGCAGAGCTTACAAGCTAACCAGGGTGGATAGCTAGTGGGTCATGTTAAGTGCAGTTTTGTGTTGATCTTATCACCTCTCCTTTGTTGGAACTGAGTCTAATATAGCCCATGCTGACCTTGAAATCACTGTATAGCCAAGGAAACCTTAAACATCTGTGATTGTCTCTATTCCCCCTTTAGTTCCTAACTAGATATGGATTGTACTATCACAGTTCTGTAACGTTGTGTATCTTTATTAAAAATAAAGTTACTCTGTCTTCCTAGCTAATCTGATGTTCCTGGAGACTGAATTTATTATTATTGTTGTTGTTGTTTTTATAGCACCCATGTCATTGTGTCTCCTCACTACCCATATACCAATACCACTGACTGCTCAATGTACTTTTCAAGAGGCAGCTCTCACAGGTTAAAGGACACACTCTAAGAATTAGTTGCAGATTCCGGTCCTGCTTTACCACATTTTAAATCTATAGCCTTGGGGAGTCACTTAGCCTCTCTGAGCCTTAGTTTCCTCATGTGCAACATGGAGCTAAAATCCTCCATCTCACAGGGCTGTTGTGAGGATTTAGTGACTCAATTTAAGTCCCTGGTGCAGTTCCCAGTGTACAGTGGTTGTCTCGTAACTACTGCTTCCTTTTTCCTTTAGTAATCATTTACAGTAGTCGGTTTCAGGAGGGCTCATAGGCTGGGTAAACAATGTTTTGCCTTTAAGAAGAATACAGTTTAGTTTCCTCTAGTTAAATGAGTAACTTGGGCTACCCTAGTGCCCAGTGCTTAACTCCCAGCAAGAGTCCTCCATGTCCCCTGAAGCAGGAAGTGAGGGACCCTTCCCTAAGACAAGGTAAGACACATAAACCCTTTCTGGAGCAGTCACATACCAAGCCAGGGTAACAAGAGAAATTTTGGGTTAAAAAATGCCTGGAAGTACATAAACCTCCTTGTAAAATAAGAGTGTAGGAAGCAGCTTTTATTGCCATCTCTGTCTGTCTCTGTCTGTCTGTCTGTCTGTCTGTCTGTCTGATAGACATCACAAGTATCTGAATATGCTGGTGATCCGGCTCACCTAGGTTCCACCCCTGAGATGCAGCTCTTCCAGGGCCTCTATCACTCCAGCCAGGTCAGACAATCTGAACATTGAAATCTACAGAGAGGCTGGGCTAAGCCAGTGTAAGGAGAGGGGAAGGTTGTCAAGAAAGAGGATGTAGAAGGACTTGGGAGCCCAGTGTACACAGGGGCTATGAAGTTAGCTCTGCTGGAGGGGTATCCATTCTCAGTCAAGACCCATTCCAAACTCCATACAGTGAGCTCTGGAGATCAGGCTGCCAGCTGCTGGTCAGAGAAAGAACAGTTGCAGTCGTGTTTCTGATTGACGTCAAGGCAGGCCATGGTGACACAGCACTCGTGGGGACCATCCCTTCCTGACCTCCCTAAGTCAACAGCAAAGGCAGGACATTTGGTAGATTGCTGCATGGTCGCCACTATCCCCCTCTACTTCGTCAACAATAGAAGCCCTCCATAATTTAGCTCAATATTTGGTTGCCCTAGATGCAGACTACATTTCCCAACTTTCCTTTCAGCTAAACTTGGTCACAAGACAAAATCCTGGTATATAAGATGGAAATGGAGACAGATATGTAAATTCCATAAAATGTTAAAGGCAGAGAAATCTCCTCTCCTGTCCAGTAAGTTGCAGTTCATATGTTCTGCCTGGGACTAGCATGGTTATCCTGATCCTTGATGTTGTAGATAGCAGAGCATAAATCTAGGAGGATTCTGGGGCTTTGAAGACTGTGGCATTGCCATAACAGCTGGCAACACTTAGCAAGTGGCTCTGGAGCAGGTTCAAAAGTCTAAGTTTTCCAGTTATCTGGGAAAAAAAATCATGGAGCCTAATGGGATTGAGTAACATCGTTTAAGTGTTTCCTGTGTCTCAGGTCTGTCTGAGGCACTGCACATGCATTAGTTCATTTAATCCTTACAGCAATCCCATGAAGCAAGTGCTGTGCCACCCTTGTCCTGTAGATGAGGAAACAAGTGTGAGGCAAACCAGCAAGCTTGCTCAAGTTCACATGAGCAGACAGTAGAAGTATGTCTGATCCCGGATCACCAGGCTCCAAGCCCACTCCTAGCCACCTATGGAACGCAGTGGTGTCAGAAGAGCACAGCAGATTAGTTCGGGTGGTTCCTGCTCTTATCTCCTCTCATCCAGAATTAGCTTTTTCTTTTAATAACTGCAAAATGGACTCTGTTACTTTCTGTAGCAGCCTAGAGGACCATTTGTGTGTCATTGGGGGAGGAGGGAGGGGTGTTGTTCTAAAACATGAAGTCCATTACAAAATTAGAAGTCTGGGGTGAGCGACCTTTTTTAAAACTGGTTATCATATTCTAAGCTGATCATCACTATAGACTTGGTTCTATTAACCTTACATTGAGGGGCACTCAATCTCTGAGATGCAGGTGTGAGTGTGTGTGTTGCATTCAACATGTACTGCTGGAGGAGTGAATTCTAGTGCTCTGCCTAGATGCCCTCTTTAGAGTACATGCTTCCTCTCCTCACATCTGCACTCCTGATCAGAAACTTCTTAATGCAGGTCACAGCCTCATAGTAGGTTTCCTAGAGGCTGAGACAAAGCTGATGGGGGTATGAAGGCTGGACTCTTTGACCTTAATTCAAGATCAATCTTCAGGGATATCAAACCTGAGGATGTACACCTTGGCCAACTTCCCCATCTACTCACAGTCTGCCATTCCTTATCACCACGCTGGTATAGCATTTGCGTCCTGACCCCCCTAAGCCTGCCCATGGCATTATGTACCAGAATCAGCTTCTGAAGTACATATTGTCACATATATCCCCAAGTAAAAATCCAAACCAAGGCCGGGGGCTGTGACTTAGCTGGTAACGTGCTTTACCAAGCAAGGATGCCGAACTGAGTTTGAGTCCCAGAATCTAAAAACCCATTCTTTGCCCTTTGAAACATTATCACACCTATAATAACATGTTTTATCATTGTTTTTCCAAAAGGTTAAAGACTGATGAAGTCAAGTTCTGTGTTCTCCTTGTGCATGACTGTGTGTGACATCTAATACTCCCTGGCACATAGTAGAGGCTCATATACATGAGAAGGGTAGAAGAGGTCATAACACATACCGATATTTGAGAATAGATGGCCTCTGACTTTTTGAACCTTGCACTTCAGAACAGATACTCAGGCAATGGCACAGAGATAGCTTGGCAAACCAAGGTAAGCTTGGCAAACCTTGAAGGAAAGAAAGGATGTGTTGAGGATGTGGCATAGTGTATGGTGGATTTGGCTGGTAGAGGTGGGGAAGGAAGGCAGGGAAGCACATCAGAGCCCACCTCCCCAGAAGAAATGATGCTTGAGCTTGGGTAGATGCAGCTGGTCCCCTGAAACAATGTTTTGAATGTAGTACTATGGATCATTTGGGTATCCATCATTTGTGGCTGGGTGACAGTGCAAGGCAAGAAGTAATACCTGGTACACTGTACTCCGGTGACTCAGTCTTGATCGTCTACCCACTAGATGTCAGTAGTTCCACCATCTGAGCCGTAGTTGTGACAATCAGAATGTGTGCAAACGTTGTCAAATATCCCCTGTGTGGCACAATCCAATGGAAATTCAGTTTGGGCTGGGGAAGAGGCAAGGTGACTGAGTAGCCAAGTGTGGGAATGACCAGTGGAAGTAGGATGTATTAGCAGAGGCCATGGGTAGGAAAGTTGTGTTCCTGGAGCTTCCAGATTGCCTGGGCAAGGCTAGCCTTGACTTTCAGAGGTAGAAAGGGCCAGATCCCGAAGGCTGAGAAAAAGGAGAGTAAATTGTCTGCTTCCTGGGGGTGTGAACCTACAAGGCTAATGACAGGATCTCCTGGCTAGAAACACCATCCAGAAAATGAAAAGGCTTCCCTAAGTCCAGAATCCTGAAACAGTGTCAGTGGAGCTGGGTGGTTACATGTAGCCCATCCATCCAGCCTGCTTCCCAGGACTGATGAGGGGGTGATATATAAACCTCTGTGGGCTTCATTCCATAAATCAGCAGACACTCCCTGGTGTTTGCATTGTTAACGGCAGCACCTAGCCCTCCAGTGTTGCTGCAGAGACTTGTCCTGAAGCTGCCTCCCCTCCTGGAACTGCCCAAGCCAGTTGGCAAAGGGAAGCAGGTTGCTGGGTGATTAGGTCTGAAGCTCATTTTAAAATCAGAAGAAAAAAAAAGCCTGTCAGCAGAGATGTAGGATTGGTGTGCTGCTGAGCTCCTCCCATCAGGTAAGGGGGTCACAGAGCCTTGGAGATAGAGCTGACCTGAGGAAGGACCCCAGGGCCTACAGCTTCTAATCACCTCCTTCCCTGCCGAAAGTTCCCAGGTATTCCTACACTGGGTTATTGTAAAAAGAGAAGTCGCCAAAGCTAACCCCCGTGGAACTCAGCTTCCTCTGCTACCCAATACATAACGACATAGTTCTGCTTTAGTGATGGAAGTGGGAGGCTGGCATTAGACCATCTAGTGAGCATCTTCAGTGTAGATACCCCAGCTCATGCTCCTAATAGCCCCACAGACTCCCCAGGGTGTGCGATGGTTCTCAATCCCTGGGTTTTCCTTTTGCCTGAGACTCTATTACTGTTTGGTAAGACATTAACCCTGATAGTCTTAATTTAAGATGTTTATGTGTCTCTTCATGGACTTCTTTTTGCACTGATTTTTATCTTTTTAAAGTGCTGTGTTTAGGCTGGGGTTGTAGCTGAGTGGTAGAGTACTTGTCTAGCATGTGCAATCATTTGGGTTGGATCTACAGCAGGTCACACACATGTAAATATATAATCATTCAGACATCTATCTTGGTGCCTGAAGTTTGTTGGTGTCCCTTAAGTTTTATTTTGTTCTGAATTGTGATTAAAAAAATACACAGAACACACCAATCGTCATCCTAACCATCTTTACGTGTATTATTCAGGCATTAGATACATTTTCATTGTTGTGCAACCATTGTCATAATTCATCTTCAAAACTCTCCTCAAAAGGAAACCCTATGCTCACTAAACTCTAACTTCCTGTTTCCTACTCTGATTCTAGCAAACCACCTTTGTATTTTCTGTCTCTATGAGTGTGACAACCCTCAGAAGCTCACATAAGTAGACTACTGTGATATTTTTATGCTGGCTTGTTTCAGTTAATACAAGAGTTATCCACGTTGTGCCGTGTCAGAATTTACTTCCTTTTTAATAACGAATAATATTTGTTTATGTTTATGTGTATGCATTTGTGCATGTGTGTGTTTTCTGTCTATTGTTTCTGAGTATGTGTGTTTGTGTACACACCTCCATCTCCCCTCTTTCTCTGTGTTATTCATTTATTCACTCAGGGATGCCTGCTTCCATCCTTTAGCAACAGTGAAATCCTGCTTTCAGTTCTTCTTTGTTCTATACCCAGAAGAGGAATTGCTACATGTTTAATTTCTTAAGGAACAGTCAAATTGTTTTCTCATCACAACTGCACCATTTTACATTCTCAACAATGGTGAGCAAGTATTTCAATTTCCCAGTCTTTACCAACATGTGTTACTTTCTTTCCCCCTTTTCCTTTTATCTATTTTTCATAGAGTAGCCATCCTAATGAGTGTGAGGTGGTACTGTTCTTTCAACACTGCAGCTGAGGAGGGTCTCCCTTGATGCCCTGGAGTCCCAGTCTGGCTCTCTGGTGCAAATCATCACCTGCTGAGCTCTGGTCCTGTTACTGTTTTTCATCCCTTGCTTGAGATGATGTAGGAGAAACAACTGTGATTTAGAGTAGGAACCTGGCTCTGCCACACAGTGGCCATGTGACCTGTGCTTTAGCTCTCTCATCCAAAGAAAGAAGGTAACATCTCTCCTTACCTTAGAGTTGTCATGAAGAGTAAGTGAATTAACACATAGGAAATTCGTGGACATCATAAGCTCCATAGCTGTGTAAGTGGTAGCTACTATTACTGTTGACCTTATCCGAAGACATAATTTTTGTTTTTAAATACACCTATTATATTGGAAAGATTGAGATTTTTAAAAATTTGCAAAGATCAAACAATATGTTACCATTTGCCCTTCACCTAACTTCCTTTAATATTATTGTCTTTCACAAGCATGTATGTTTGTCAATACAAAGGAATTAACACTGGCACATTATTCCTAGCCAAGTTGCTGTCTTTACTTACATTTCATTAATTGTATCATTAATGCCACTTTTTTTTTTAATTCTGTGACCCAAACCAGATACCACATTGCATTCAGGCTGAGCTGTTGCCATTTGTTTTACTTTCTATTTGTTATTTGCCTGAATGATTTTTTTTCCTTTTTTAATTTAAATTAGAAACAAGCTTGTTTTACATGTCAATCCCAGTTCCCTCTCCCTCCCCTCCTCCCCTGCCCCCCCCCACCAACCCCCTATCCTATCCTATCCTATCCTATCCTATCCTATCCTATCCTATCCTATCCTATCCTATCCTATCCCCTTTCTGCTCCCCAGGGAGTGTGAGGCCTTCGGTGGGGCATCTGCAAAGTCTGTCATATCATTTGGAGCAGGGCCTAACCCCCCCAACCCCCGTGTGTGTCTAGGCTGAGAGAGTATCCCTCTATGTGGAATGTGCTCCCAAGGTCCTGAGTGGTGTTTTTTTTTTTTTTTTTTTTTTTTTTTGAAGCTGGAATTTGAATGTCTTTAGACAGAACATGGCTCTTCATCTGCTACACTCTCCCAGCATCCCAACAGGCTCTGACATCAAGAGACTATTTCAGACTCTTATGTTTACCTGCTTGGAGATGTGTGGATCTGTGACCCCCAAGTTCAGTGACAGTCTGTCCCATCCCTTCTCAGAGGCTCTAACTGAATGAGGAGTTCCGGGTTTCCAAAAACCACCCTATTGAAATGTATATGCTCTCAGAGACTTGGTCCACACCAGCTACTCAAAGCTAAAAGCCTTGATAGAAAATAGGTGATGCAAAAAAGAGCCCATGGGAACAGTGAGTGAAAAGGTGCCTGGAAGTAAAATGCCTGCAGGGGGAGCGGTCCCTCCAAGGGGAGCTGCCAGCCATTGCTGCTAGACTCGCCTGTCTTTTGTCTAGGGGGAGGCCCTGCTTGAGTTGGATCTTGATTCCTTCTGCTAGGCTGTGGGTGCCCACACCCAAAGGGGCTGCTGGCATCATGGAACTCTGAGCCTAAAGAAGCCTACCACGTGTTTAGTACCCAGTCTTTCCCTTTATTCCTTGGCCCTCCCCTCCCTTCGCAGGGTATAATTATGAACCTTAGTGACCAATGGGGAAAAAAGTCTAAGAAACACCCAGCTACCTCAAACAGTCCAGTGCTGTGTCTACCCCGAGCAAAGTGCTAAACAGAGATTTGAAAGTGACAACCCAATATCTAAATGATAGCTGCTGTAGGATTTTTTAAACTTGACTTTGAAATAGACCATAGACTTTTAGCAGCCAACCATCTTACTGTCTTGACACATCTAGAAGTGCACACTCAGAGTTTCACATTAGATAACTTTTATGTGGGGGTATTTAGAGGCATTATTTACTATTGACCAATAATAGCATGGATGGCCAGAAAGTAATGATGAGAGGTTTGATTAAACAAACAAAAGAGTCCAAAACTGTTTTCCTAACTTAAATTCTTGTTCTTACTTGCGGGTAGAGCTTACCAGACACCTCCAATTTCAGCCATACAATTACCCCAGCACCTCTCTTGTTGCTACCTACCGTGTAGTTGGGCAATAGAATGGATCAGAAAGGCCACATTGTGAGTAGCAGCTTTGCAGTCACTGACTGGCTGTGTGAACTTGGGCAAGTTACTCAACCCCTTTGTGCCTCACCTTCACCTGTCAAATGGGGATAATTGTAGCACCTGCCTCCCAAGGTTGTTGTGAGGTTAAATGAAAAGCAGGTGAGGCAACACATACGCAATGCTTAGCGCAGCACCTTGCAAGTAATACGCTCCCCCGACCTTTAGCTTTTGTTATTTAGAAGGATCTGGAAAAGGCAATGTAAGTTTGGAGGCAAGGTAAGAGGTCTGAGAAGAAAGTAAAAGGAAAGCTCTTGGGCATGGGCTGGCTTCTCATCAGCTTGAGTAGCCTTCATACTGAGTGGCTCATTGCTTTGGGCTCCATTTGCCAGATGGGAAGGGTTAGGTTCAGAAGGTCCATCTGATGTGGCGCTGTCATGTGGAAAGAGAGGCCATATAGCTGACCTTGAAACAGAAGCAAGGTACAGCTAGGAATGTGAACTTCAGTGTCAAAAGCCGAGAGAATTCTTCTGCGTGCCGCTGCAGCTAGGTACATATGGAGGGGAGCATGCCCCGTGCCTGCCTCACTTACCTCATGTACAACTGCTCCTGGCTTGTAGCCTTTGTTATGGTAGCTCTAGAAAACAAACACAAGCGGGGACGCTGGTTATAGCGCATGGGTTACTGGGGGTTCCTGCAGCAGTATTTTTAGAAGTCTTTAAGAAAGCAACAAGAAAATACCTCACTGGACACAAAGATCCCCCGAGTCTGTATCTCTTGGTCTTGGGCAGCCGCAGCCCCCTCCCCCAGCTTCTGTATCACAGGTGAGAAGGCTAATGCATGGCATGGAAAGGTGAGGGCTGGCTTTGTTTGTGTGTCTTAGCTTATGATATTAAGTTAAAGGGAAGGGTTTTTTTTAATGCACTTGGCGTAGAAGTGCGGAGAGACACAACAGCAGAGTGAAATGGACTAGAAGCTAGACAGAGCATCCACAGGCATCCGAAGGGTGAGAAGGTTAGCAAAACAGTGACCTCATTGCTGGCAGACGACTGGAAAGCACCAAGCCATGTGGTCAGATACTCCAGAGGGCCCCGCTGTAGTTCTTGCGCAGGCAATCTGCCTCCACACCAGTGTGCCACCGTGCGGCGTTAGCGTCTCTTAACTTCAGCTCAGTCACCCTGGGGAAGAGTAGCCCCTTGAGAGGATTAATTCTGTGGTTCCCTTCTTTCTAACTGGCTCTCTGCCTAGTCTCCAACCTTTGCCACCCTTTTGGGCAGACCAATGAAGTCCGATGTTCAGAGATGCCTGGCTACAAATACTACTGTCCTGAAGGAAGGCTGTGGTCAGGAAATCAGCATGTACGCATCCCATGCCCCAGTCTGTTCCTTCTGTCCCACTTGCTGGTCAAGCTGCTGTATCTGGTTTGAGCAGGTATAGTCAGTGCCCTGCAAAATGGCAACAAGTCAGAGGGGGGCAGGATAAGACAGGTAAGAAAGTTTAGGGACAGGAGGAGCTGTCATGGGAGGGGGAAGGAAAATGACTCCAAGGTTTGTTATCTTTGGCCCCTTGAACACTTCTCCGCCTTGGTGAAGCAACCTCCCTAAGTAGCTGGCCTACCCATAGCCCCACATGAAGCGTGTGGAACAAGCTCACCTCCTCACTCCTCTCCCGAGGATGAGGTCACCTCCTGAGTTCTTTCCTGTGTTTCTGAATGTAGCTGGCAAGCTGTTTCATCTCCTTTCTCCTTCTGTAGGTGACCTCTGAGTGGCCTCGGATGGAAACTGACAGGACAGGGACTCACGGGCAAAATGCATAGCGCCTGGGAGCTGAGCACACTTCAGCCAACCTCAGCGAGTCCCAGACTGGGTTCTCCCAGCTGGTCCTCACTGTCTTGCTTCATCCCACTCAAGAAAGGTGGTCCATGAAATGCTGAACTCTACTGATCAATGGCTTCATGTGGTGGGAAGCATCATTTCCTCTGAAACTGACAGCAATTCCAGGGTTCTAAAACATTGTCCCTTACCCTCATGGACACTTAGGATTCATAATACAGATGGGGAAGAGCGGTAGACCAGAAACAGACAGGGAAGTCATCGCTGGACTGAAAGTTTAGACCTGCTTCACTCTGTGTGTGTGTGTGTATACACGTGTATGAGTGCGTATGCACATGTGTGCACCTGTATGTGGAGGTGAGAGGACAACCTCTGATACAATTCCTGAGGCACCATACACCTTTTCTTGGACATTGAGTCTCTCACTGGCCTGGAATCCACCAAATAGCTTAGGCTGACTGGCCACTGGGATCTACTTGTCTTGGTCTTCTTAGACCTGGGATTACATGACATGAATTGCCATGCCCAGTGGTTTTTATTTTGATCTATTTTATCGTTTTGTTTATGTGTATCTGTGTTTTGCCTGCATGTGTGTCTGGCTCTGTTTGCACACTTGATAGCTGTGGAGGCCAGAAGAGGGCATTGGATCCCCTAGAACTGAAACTACAGACAGTTTTGAGCCACCATGTGGGTGCCGAGAATTGAACCTTGGTCCTCTGCAAGAGGAACAGGTCCTCCTAACATCTCTCAGTGCCCTCCCCACCATGTTTTGTTTATTTGTTTGTTTTTCTTTTTCTTTTAATAGGTTCTAGTGATCAAACTCACATCTTCATTTTGCACAGTAAAGCACTTTACTGAGCTATTCACCTGCCCAGTCTTACTGCTTTATTTTTTACCACTCACCATTTCAGTTGTGTTTCTAGTGAAGTTTCATACCTGCATAAATACATATAGATGACTTCATTCTGTGACTAAAATGTAATAGTACATTCCCAGCCTTCCCAACTTTCTATGCGTCTTTTATGTATTGAGTTGTATCCCCCAAAATTCATGTTAAAGTTCTAGATTTCAGAACCAAGATGACTTTATTTGGTTATGGGTTCTATACAGGGGTAATAAAATTTTAAAAAAAGGTCATTAGGGTTTGCCCTACTCCAGGTGACCTTATAAAAAGAGGGAAACAGAGTATAAATGTCTGTAATCCAAGTCCTTGGAAAGCAGATGCAGGAAGATTGGAAGCTCAAGGCTATTGTGGGCTATACATCACTGCCCTGCCATGGGGAGAATAATTAAAGTTTGTAGACAGACATGTGAAGGAAGAAGTTAGCGCAAATGTGAACTTGGTGATCTACAAGCTAAGGAGAGAGCCCTAAAAAGACCCTTCCCTTATAGTCCACAATCAAAGGCATTGAACATGGATGGACTCACAATGAATCCCTGTTGCCTCACCGCGGCATTTGTGGCACTCTGTTACAACAGCCCAGGAAACTGGTGTCTAATACCTTTATCACCAGTCACGGCCTTTGACTGCAGCCTGGGAACTATTCTGTGTTTTTCACTCTATAGTTTCACAGGGTTCAGAATGAAATCACAGTCATATTGTATGCAGCCTGAATTTAGCTTCCTTCATACAGCATAAGTCTTTTGAGATTCACCCACACATTTTTTTCAGTGATTTTCATTGCTAAGAAGTACCCCATTGTATGGATACAGAGTTTGTTTATCCATTCACCAGTTGAAGGACATTTGGATCATGTCCAGGTTTTGGTTATTGTAACTAATGCTTCTGTAAATGCTCATGTATGCAATTTTTGGGTGTGAGTCCATGTTTTGATTTCTGTTGGGCAAATACCTAGGGGTGGGATCCCCAGATGATATGATAAGTGTATGTGGAAATTTGCAAGAAACTATCCAGCCATTTGCAAAGTTGCCATTGCATTCTTGTGTTTCTACCAGCATTGGGCGAACACTTACTTGGTACATGTCTTCATGGTGCTCAGTTTGCTTGCTTGGGTTTTGCCAACCCACCAGGCATGCGCATCTATCTCTCTGTGGTTTTAGATTTCACTTTACTAATGTGACATCTCTTTACGTGTTTATTTTCCACCCCTATAACTTCTTTTGTGAACTATCGAGTTAAGTCTTTCCTCACTTTTAATTGGGTCATTGACTTCATTGAGTTTTGAGAAAAGTCCTTTATCAAACATGTTTTGTTATTGTTTTCAACCAGTCTTCACTTTGCCTTTTCTTAACACTGAAGAACAAGATTTAACTTTATAAAACAATTAAGTTAGCTTAAGAAGTAATGGGTTTCGTTAATACCCATTCATGCATTTATAACACTATACCTCACTGTAGCTTGACTCTTTCTATCACAGCCAATCATCATGTCCCACACTTCTTTAAAGTTTGCTGAAAACTGTTACATCTCAGAATACTTTCAGTTTTGATGTAGACCAAGTTATCATTTTTTTCATGAGTCTCTTTAAAGAATTCTGCCCAAGGTTCCAAAGGTTTCAGAGCCTTCACTTTTATCCTGAGTGGACAGCTGGTTTCACCCTAGTCAGATCATCTTCCATGAAGTGTGGACATCGAAGTCGACAAGTGTTTTTCAAATATTTGGGGGTTTTGTTTTGTTTTGCTTGTCTGTTTGTTTTTTTGAAACATGATCTTATAACGTAGCCCTGGCTGGCCTAGAACTCACAGAGATCTGCCTGTATCTGCCTCCCAAGTGCTATGATTAGAGATAGGTGTGCATCACTATGCACAGCTAACTTGTGAAGTTTCTGAAAGGAAAGAAACCTACTTCCTCCTGGTCCACACACAACGCTGCCAGAAAAAAAACAGATGGTGATGCTCCTCAGGACGAGTGCTCCTGAGGTTCAGGACCAAGGAGATCCCTTTCACACCTCACAAACCCCTCAGGACCACATGGAAAGCCAACCGTATTGGTGCCGAGGATGAGGATAAGCCGAGGTTCCACATGTCTGAAAAGTTCTAGATGATCTTCAACTCTGGTCTGAATACATCACTTTGAGTGAGTGATAAAGTTCTAGAATCTTCAACATGCCAAAGTGGTTAGTCTGCCATCATCAATATAAGACTGGAAATTTCTACAGTGTGTTTCCTCAAGGAGATCAAAGTGCTACTATATAGGCAGCTGTTTTCCCTCCCTCCGATATTCTACCATAGTTCCCATTTAACTGATAGGTACAGCAAAGTCTAGGACTGAGCCAAGTTTACCAGAACCTGGCAGAATCATGGTCAAAAGACTGCTGCAGCTAGATGGAGACTAGTGCCACTGTGGACTGTGATAAAAATCATTGCTATACAAGACTTTATTCTGTTACAGCAGAAACCCAAACTGCCAAAAAAAAAGTGTATGGGAAAGAGGGGGTTTGTTTCATGTAACTAAATGTCTGAGGTTGGTTAGTTTCAAGTGCAGTCAGATGTAGGTGTTTGGCTCTCTGAAAATTCTCCTTCTATACTCCTCTAAGTCCATTTCCCTCCCAGGTTCCTTACATGCCAAGGCAAGGAGGTCACTAGTTGGTCTAGTATTACGTTTCTTTAACCCCTCCAACAGAATACAGCTCCCTTTCCCTAGTCATTTTGGTGGAAGATCTACATTTGAGTTCATTAGTTTAGCTCAGGCCAATGCCTGCTCATGTGACTGTAACTCTGATCAGTATAAGCAGCAGATGCTGTGACTTGATGGATTGGTCCCAGATGATACCTTGAGCTCAAGAGGGAAGTCAATCTCACTGGACCAAAATGAGAAATATGAGATGATTTGCTGGAATCATTAGGAATCTATGTGCATGAAAGGCTATTTTTTTATTGTTGTATTTGTTTTCTTTTAAAAAGCAGGAAAATAGAATCTTTTACTTGGACCACCCAGAAAACACTGCTGTGGTGCCTTTGATGCCACAACCCCTTGTTCAGAGTCAGCCTCCCTTGGTCTCTTGGGACTCCCTTTCACCACTTCAGTGTGGCTCTCTCAACTCCAACACGCAGGACTGCCATGCTGCCTTTCCCAATCAGACAAACCGGCTCACAGGCTAATGCTTGTGACTTCTATTAGAATTCTCTGGATCCCGTGACGCCTGCCATGAAGGCAAAGGTAATGCTATACACATGACATTTTGGACCCTGAGGTTTTTTATTCCTCCCAAGAGGGTCTTTTTGCTCTTGTGAAATCGTTCTGCTGGTTTCGTTGACCCACAGCCACAGCCAAGGTCACAGCCGTCTAGCCCTGAGCAATCCCCTCTGTATGGAGGCGGCAACAGAAACAGGTGGCGCCACAGCTGGGCTGATTAAAGGCATCCTCCGGACTGTCTTGGGAAGTGCCTCTAAAGAGGTGTGCAGGTGGCAAACCTTGCTTAATTATCGATGTGAAAGGCCTGTAAACTGAGACCTCGGGAGGGGAAGGGGAACATTCCTGCGTTGTCTCTGGCAGGCAGAAGGGGCTGGTTGGGGCCTGAGAGTCATTAACTTCAGCCATAAGGGCGGGCGGGCGGTTAGAGACACTCCAACCGGTAAATCTGCAGACAGGCCTGCGCGAAGCCCCACCAACAGGAGGATGGCCCTAGGTATGAAAGAACCAGTTTCAGCCAGCGGCAGAAACAGCAGTTGTGGGACCTGGTTGATGCTCTGTAATGTCAGGTTAGGCTGATAGGGTATTTTATTGAATGGCGTGAATTCCAGCTCCAGTAACAGTACCCCAGTGTCAATAGTGAATGTAAATAGATAATCTTATAAAACAAGAAAATATGTGCACAGTGTCCCCACCTCCCCCTCCTGAGCCCATGAGCCATGAGACCACACTTGGCACCTGCAGGATCCTCTCCCTCTCTCCCCCCAGCATACACAATAGCACCCTTTATGCGCTGCCTGCCAAGCTCCATGGGAAGGGCATGCTATGTGTGCAGTTGGACTGCAGTAGTACTGTGCACGGTAATCATTAACCCGAAATGGCATTTACGATGATGAGGTGGTAGTGCGTGCTGCTCTGCCTTCATCCCTCCAGCAAACAGAATGTACTGACTTGAAACAGGTAGGACCAGTTGCAGCCAGGCCCTCAGAGACACAGTGTTCTCCGGTGGAGTGAGCCATGCATAATGGGCCCATTGACCAGGGTGGCAGGTGCTGGTTTTCTGGACTGCTCCCATACAGGCATTGGCCTTAGAATTCATGGGCGTGGGTTTCTATCATTTTCTTTATTTTTAGACAGGGTCTCCCTATATAGCCCAAGCTGGTCTGGAATTCCTTATACAGTCCATGGTAGCCTCCAAGTTGCAGTCCTTCTGCCTCAGTTTCCTAAGTGCTAAGATCACACCTGACTAGATTTGAGTTCCGAAGTGGGGTTTTGCTCATTCCCAGGGAAAGATGTAACACAAGCTGAGCACACACTTCTGAAAGGAGCCAAAAACTTCTGAAGGAATCCTTGAGGAGGCAATGGCTGGCTAGTACCACCAGCGGCTGCTTAAGAGGAACAAAGTGTTGTCGCCTTTGCACAAACAGCTTGGGAAACGGAGGCTAGAACGTCTTTAAGAGTATCTGTGGAGAAAGAGAAAAAAGCAATGGAGGAGTTAGGTAGTTTCTGTAAAACCACACAGCCTGCCTTGGCTGGGACAGGGAGAAAATAGGGCTTCCTGTTTCTCGGGTACTGACCTCTTTGCAAGCTAAAGCAACAAGGACCTGTGTTTGGTGGTTCATTGTTAAACGAGACTTCTCACATTCCAAGTCCAGACACCAAGCCTTCCTTGTGCCCTTCACATCTTACTTGGATAGAGAAGATGCTGGATGTGACAAACAGAACGAAAAAGAGATGGTGTCAGCCCAGCTCAGTGGCCCTCGATGTAATGATACAGAGACGGTGTCAGCCCAGCTCAGTGGCCCTCGGTGTAATGATAGATCCTTTGCTATCCTTGAGCCCACTGTCCTCACCTGCAGAGAGAAAGGGCTAAGGGCAATAATTGCACAGTACTCACATTCAGCAGACAGCCCTCTACTCAGTTTCCCCAGTGTCCCCCACCCAGCGTCCTGTGATGAATGGAACAGGAAAGAAGACATCAAGAGAGCCAGGACTTACTGAAAAGCACACTAGGGTGGGCCTTGTGTTTCCCTCCCGTGCTCAGATTTGAGCCCTCCTGAAAAGGAAAAAGTGTCCATTGGGGTCTTAAGTCCATTTCGCAGAACTCTTTGTAGTCATATCCTGCATTTTCAGATCTGGTGACCTGTGCAGGATCACAGAGCAGGTCTGTGTCCTGCCTATAGCTCATTTCAAGGAGCACAGGCTAACTTTGTTCATAGTTGTCTAGTTGAGTATCCCTCCATCAGCAATAGTAGTCTCAGCAGCAGGAAGAGGAAACACCTTCATTCCATGAACAGGTGGGATGTCAATGGCTGAGACCAGAAGGATGCTGTGTACATTACCTACATCAACTTACAGATTTAAATGCCAGACCTATGACAGGTATAATCATCTAAGCTCCACACCAAAACTGAGAGAGTTATACTCATCAAGGTTCAGGGTTTCAAATCTGACCTCAAACAGCGCTCTTACAGAATCTGCTACTTACTCAATACAGCACACTCCTTGCTGGGGGTGGGAGGGATAGGGACCCGTGTCTCTGTGTTAGTTACTTTTCTTCCTGCTGTGCCAAAATACCCAACAAAAAGCAACTTAAGGAAGGAAATTTCTTTTGGCTTACAGTTTAAGGGAATAGTAGGAAAGTCATGGCTGCTGGATCAGAAAACAGGTGGTCATGTTGCATCTGTAAACAAGAAGCAAAGGGAGATAGAGTCTTCTCGGCTTGCTTTCTCCTTATTTAGTCTGGTACCCCAGTACACAGGATGGTACCATGCACATTCATGGTGGGTTTTTTCTCCTTATTTAAATCTTTCCAGAAATAATTGCAAAGGTACATCTAGAGGGATTTCCACAGTGGTTCTAAATCCAGCCCAGTTAACAATGAAGATTAACAATCTCTGATTTAGACTCAAGGTATGGTGTGTTTTATTTTGTTTTAAGTATTCTCAGAATCGCAGAAAGCAGAGGTGAGGGCAGAGAAAGGGGAGGAGGAGAAGAGGAGATAGGAGAAAGGGACAAAGAGAGAAAGGGGAAGAAGGAAAGGGAGAGAAAGGGGGAAAGAAGAAGAAACAGGAGGAGGAGGAGGAGGAAGAGAAATAAGGAAGAGGAGGAAGAGAAAGAAGAAAGAGGGAGA